CGCACACACGACGCTCTTCCGAATATATATACACACACAATTTTTATACGTCACATACATATACAAAAAGGTGCACACACAAATATACAATCCTCTTGAAATCTTCATTCAACATCTTTGTGTCTTAATAGACGAAGCTTTCATTGCTCAAACAGTGTGACTTTTTCCAAGTCTTTTAAACAGTAAGACACTCACATTACTACTTTATGTTAATGCTAATTGAGGAAAACAAAATGCAAAGAAGCTTTTGAAGTCAAAACATTCACATTCACTTTTATTGAAACACTGACAAAACCCAACCAAAGTCTTAATTGTGACCATTTTGATCAATCCAAGATCTACGTTCTTTCAATCAGCAGCTTTCTTGTTCCGCATGAATCAAACCACACCATCTCTGGTTGCAAAGCATGCTGGGTAACTGAGGATGTTCAGCTGTAGTGACTCCTTCAGCCTCCTTACACAAGAACATTAACATTTAATGAATCTGTGAGTGACCTCGTAGACTCCCACTGACTCTTTGGCTTTCTCATCATAATCTGTCCAATCCTGAAAGATTCAAAATGAATGTTTGTGTGTGTGTGTTGTTATTAATTTTGCATAACTTGAAACATTCTCCATCACCTAATGCGAATACCTACTTTCTCTAGCAGGTTGACTTCAGGGAACTGAGTTCCACTTTCTGCTCCTTCTGCAGCAAAGCCGGCCTGGAAGAGGACAAAAACATGTTTGTTTGTTTTTTAATGTGTCACTAAATATTCTTAGTTTAGATGTTTGCAATAGGCCTTTATTGAATGCTGGATTGTAGTCACTGTTAGTTAAGAAGAATATAAAACCTCTTAACTTGTGATTGTGTTTGTTTTTCTCATCAGACTGAATAAAAACTCCATGTCTTTGTTACATTTGTCTAATGCAGTTGTTTTAAATAGCACAAATTCTGAATGTGCTTGTTGGACAACTGTTTTTGTATGAAATACAAGCAATTGTTGATAAATCTAAGACAGAAAATCAACAAATTATAAGACAAACAGGAAGTTTTTAGCTGGAGTCTTGAATCTTCTCTAAAAGCCCACCAGAAAAACAATGTGTGCTTGAAATGTGATCCACACACAATATTCAGTTTCTTACTTGTGGCTGAAAATCAACCGGCTCCAGACCTCGACACTCGAACTGCACCATTGTCTTAAAGGTCTCGTTGTCCTCAGCCTTCATTAAAGAAACAAACAACAACAAAAAACTCATGTTAGAAACGCACACAAACACACCTGTCGAGCAAGATTCAAAATCCGCTCATTGTTATAGTTGGAGGCAGCCATTTGGCAGCCCATCGGTTTTTGGCACAACACCGATCCACATTTCCGGGTTGTCAGCCGTGACACATAATAGATGCGACGTATACGGCAAAACAACATATTTATGGATTTTTCCATTTTCTTAGACAAATATGGACTGATGCGACTTATAGGGCGGAGCGACGTGGAACGGAACCTCCATGATAAACGAGGGACTACTGTAAAGCACATCGTGTGAACCTTGCTGCCTGCCTGCAGCAGAGTAACGCTCTGCTAGCTCTACTTACTCTTTGTGTGTAATGCAAACAATCTGAACTACTTCACCAGTACAGAACTCAACAAGCTGCTTTTATAAAAAGTAGGAAAGAACTTGAGAAGAAAACTGGATGGAAATATTTCAGAAAAGTTACCCAAATTCATCATATTTTGATAATACAGCACAAGTTGTAGAAATATTTAAATTTCTCAGTCCGTCTAATAAATGTTGCAGCTTGTTGGAAAACTTCAGAACTGGGTAGTCACACCTGTTGTCCAAAAGAGAATGGTGTTGCCAGCGAGCCCCGCAACACAAAGGAAGAAGAGGGTAAAAATAATGGATTGATGGTTCTAGTGATGTACTGGAACAGATGTTACTTACATTATAGGGTGTAATTGTGTCTCGCAGGATATCTGTAAGGAAAATATTTACGTTTCATTGGTTTTAAAATACAGAAACTTTATAAAGTGGAGCACTATTGCGTACCAATTGAATTTTCTCTACCACAAAGTTTACACTTCTGCACCATACTGGCACTTCCTCTGCCTCCTTTTAATGGCACACTTTCCTGGAAACACACAAGAGAGGAAAAGTCAGATCCTGAATGAACGGGCAGTGATAAAAGCTTCAGTCAGTTGATCTTCATGCTCACCACCAGAGTCACATACTGCCATTTATCTGGAACCTCACCACAGTTTCCACACTTGAGCTAAATGAGAGAACAAAATAAAAAATTATGTATCTACATATACACACACACACACACACACACACACACATATATATATATATATATATTATTTATTTATTTTTTTTTCTGTGAGTAAAACAACAGCAATGGTATAACAGGGAAATAAAAAATAAAGTAAAAAAAAATGTGTATATGTATGTACAACTATTGTGTGAATGTTTATGAAGCATTCACACTATTAAGATCCATTTGTATTCCGTACATTTTTTGGCATCTTTCTCATTCCACAATTTTAGTGCTATTTCAACAAATCATAAATCAAAATGTTCAGCTCATTTAGGAGATGTGTGCTATCTACTTAGGTATTGGTGCAACTTTACCTTTTTGAAATATTTAGCCTTTTCTGCAACTTTTTTCCTCATAGAAAATGACTAGAGCTCATTTTACATCCTTCATATCTTTAGATCTGTTTACAACTTTTTACTGCTCCGTTCACATTTTGTTCTGCTTCAGCTTCTTTCAGCTTCCTTGTGCAAATTTAAACTTTTTTCAGCTACTTTCAGCTGTTTTGTGCTCCTTTCTGATTCTTTCTGCTAACTACAATATTTTTGTGCTTCTTCTAATTTATTTCTGCTAATTTCAGTTTATTATGCTCTTTTCAGCTTATTTATGCAAGTTTCAGCTTTGTCCTCTATTTCAGCTGCTATTTAGGTGTTTTCATGCTAATTTTAGCTTTTTTGGCTAACTCCACATTTATTGCACCTATTTCAAACTTTTTCAACCCAATTAAGCAAAACTGTGCTCTCTCCTCTTCCTTCTGGTAATTAAGGCTTCTTTCTGCATTTTTAGCTATTTTTCAGTTGGTTTTTTTTATGTTGTTGTTGTTGCTAACTTTAGCTTTTTCAGAAAATTTCCACTTTTTTGTGCTCATTTCTGCTTCTTTCAGCAAACGTGTTCTGCTTTCTTCTAATTTAAATTTGTTCTAACTTTTTAGCTCCTTTTATTTTAGCTTTTTTTTTTAGCTAATTTAATCTGTTTTCAGATAAATTCAATTTTTTTGTGGTAATTTCTGCCTAATTAACTTCTTTCTGTTAATTTCAGCTGGTTATGCTCCTTTCAGCTTTTTCTGATAGTTTCAGCTAGCTGCTTATTTAGCTGTTTTTGTGCAAAATTTTGCTTTTTCAGCTCCTTCAACTTCCTTCTGGTAGCTTAAGCGTCTTTCATTCTTTTCAGCTACTCTTGAGCTATTTTTTTGATAAATTAAGCTTTGGTTAGCTCATTTCTTAATTCTCTGCTCATTTCTGCCAATTTAGCAAATATGTGTTCTTTCTGCTTTCTTTTGCTAACTTGGGTTTGTTCTTCCATTTCAGCATGCTTTTTTTTTTAGCTAATATCAGCTGTTTTTCAGAAAGTTCTTCAGCAATAAGCATTCACAATGCATTTTCACAGAAAAAGCAATTTTTCAAGTTATTATTTAGTTTAATCAGAATCAAATCAGCACTACAACCACTGGTCGGTTTATAAATGAATATAGCTACACAGACACAATAGTGCACTACTCTGCTGATTTGGGTTACAAATAAACAAGTGTGCAAGTAACATGAAATTATTAGAAAAATAAAATGCTAAATTAAAGCCAGTCTACCTTTAAAAACCAGCGGAAGTCTTCACCCAGTGGTCTCACACTGGTTACATTCTCTAAAGAAGCTTTAAACTGGAGGCCAAATTTCTGTCATGCATTGGAGAAAAGTGGAAAGTTAAACTGCTACAAAAATATTTACACGTATTCAGTATAACACGAAAACACATACGAACCACCATCTTGCTGTTCACCCAATGACGTAATGGTGCGTTCACGTCTCCGTGGAAATTCTAATTTTCAGAATAAAAAGTATTTTTAGCATGTATAGTTGCGGCGATATGCAAGTTATTTTTTGCTATTTAGGAGAAGAATATAGTAATTTTAACGGACATCATCAGGGTTCACTCAATCAAACAGTTTTTTTATAAAATTAAATTTATTTCACGTCTTTTACCCGACAAAAACAATAACCATAAACCATCCTGTTTTACGGAACGTCTGAGAGGACAAAAGCCCGACAAAAGGCAAAACGTTGTTGAAAATTAAAATAGCAAAAGCTGATAAGACACTAAATTAAATTCTAAAATGTTTCTCAACTCAATATATCATTAATAAAGAAAATTTATCCTGTAAAAATGAAAATATATATCTTTTCTTTATTCCTCAGAAGTCAAATTCACATTAATGCAGCAGAAGTTTTAAACCAAAGTCTTTTACTGTATTCACCCTTAATAAGATGACCCTATACTGAAATGTTTCAACTTCGATCTGGAAGGCTTCATCAGTCAAGGAAGCACACAACAAAACTGATTCTTCCTCCAACAGCTTATACAAAGTGGAACAAACCAGTTCTATTTCGTATAGGCTTCGCCCTTTAAGGCTGTCGCTGATGGGTTTTATCCCGATATGCGAAGCATTGCACTGAAAAATTTAGTCCACACCCACCTGCTGTGTGGGCCCCACCCGGTCCGTATAAATTACGTTAAGAGCGGGAAATCGGCTCCCATTTTTCTTCAGCGAGCTAATAGCACTGTCAGAAGAACGAAGAAGAAAAGTTGTGTAGATGACCAACCTTTGTTAAGAATGCTTGGCCTGTCATGTCGACCTCTGGTCGTCCCGGTGAGCTCTCCTCCCCGAGGAGAAGCTGACGAGCAGTCTTATTTCAAGGTAAGCGCCGAGGAGTATTTCTCAGTGACAGGTCGCTACACGCTGGACATCGCCATCTTGTAATTTTCCTCTTATCGCCGACCCTCGGAGCGAATCGGATGGTTCCTC